CGTTGCTTCGGGGCTTTAGTAAGCTAGTCGCACCTAGAATAATATTAAGTCTTGTGAAGAAACAAGAAAATTTTCTTGATCAGGTTTGACCTGTGACTTAGGCATAATCGCTCAAGAGTTTATGTAGCCAAGAAGGGTGAAGAAGGGACAGTAAGTGGGCCAAAATAAACAGCACGTAAGGTGGTGGTCGATATACCACCATAATTCATTAAATCCAGCGCCTTTGAATGTTCCTTCCGCTTCGCCCATCATCATCTGCTTCCCACTTTATTCCCACCTTCCCCTTCCATCCTTATACTTCCTTTAATCTCGTTTTCTTTATTGCTGTGCCCTTTCCTCTCTTATTTTCCTATTCTCTTCACTTCCCCGACCTATATTACCGGCTAATAACGGCTGTCTACAATCTTATTAAGGCTTGTTATTGCTTCATGGCTGCTCAAATGTAGGTTTGCCTCTGTCTGCCAAACACCTTTGATGCTCATTCGGGTGTCAGACTATAGTGCATTCTCGGACCATTTTTATTTACTATCCTTTCCTGGGGATAGATACAAGGATGCCTGAGCCCCAGTCATCAGGAGCAAGTTCGTCTCTCCGCGCTTATTTAATCACCTTATGGAGCCAGGGAGTCAGAGAGTCAGCACAAGACTTGTTGACTTTGGCAGGCATACCGTCCTTTCCGGGTGCCTTGTTGTTGCGTAACCTTTGTATGGGATATACAACCTCTCCTTCATAAGGGCGGTCGCATGACAATGCATAGGTTGGGGAGGGAAGGAACTCCGCTGCCGAGGAGAGCAAGGGCGTGGTGGGTTGGGCATCGAACTTGAGATGGTGCTCAAAGTTCTCACGCTAGCGCTTGGCTTTGGCCAAGTTGTCAGCTATAAAGTCGCCATTCACGCCGCGAAAAGAGTTACTCAGTGCAGAGGGCTTACCACTCACTTGGTGGATAAGTTGGTAGAGTTTTCGAGTGTCACCAACGTCCATCGATGTTGACGATGAAATGTCAACTATTAGGAACTTGGACGCAGCCGACCAAGCCATTATCATATCCCTTACAAATATCTACAATTAATGCTGAAGCTGCCACTTTTACTACCATCTGTCCACTACCGTGATCTATTGTGGTCTCTGACGACGGGTTCGAGAGTGAACCCGAAAATTTGAACGAATGAGATTCTTCCCAGCGGTTTAATCATGTCCTTAGTATCTGGGTTTTCTGTTAACGTTCTAAAAAGACTGAATAGGCCCTGGTAAAAACAGCCTGCATATTGGCGTCTGTTAACCAGACAGTGGCCTTGCATACTATGTGTAGGCGTTATTTTGTCGAGGACCAGGGTTACCGAAGAATCCAGAGGTTGCCTTTATGCCTATAATTTGACCGATTGGTTTTGCCAGACGCCCGTTTTCCCTGCCAGACTAGAAGTGCCCCCTGTCAATTCTAGCATGCTTCAGGGTTGTATCGCCATCGTAATTTGTAGTTCCTGCTTTCGGAGAGAGGAGCAGTAAGATAAGACTTTACTCCGATGTGTAGGGCCTCTACATACTACCGGACCAATTAGTCTAAACCCGGAATTACTGTAGACTGTGACAAATTAAACAGCGGTGAGAAAGCCTATTATAAGACACTCATAAGTCTTAGTTTACTGTAAATGCACCATTTGTAACCTGTGTCGCAATCTTGCATTTTGCCACTCGTTATCTTTAACCCTCATCTGTGCTGCTTTCAGTAATTCACGACAGTATTGCACCGTACAATCTGTCAAATGCCTTATCGTGGATGCTTCAACTCTCACGTGCCGTTGCCTATCTCCACGATGACTGCGAGCCTCATATAATCCACCGTGATATCAAGCCGGCCAACCTCTTCCTATTCAATCAGGGATATGTGCTCAAAGTAGGTGATTTTGGGTCAGCTGTTGTGAACAGCCCAAAGAGCCCCACACGGAGGGGTACGTGGGCCTACATGGCACCGGAACTGTTCAGTTCCCACACAGGTAGGAAACATTTCGTTTTATCCCTAATCCTGCTAGGCAGCAGAACCCGTAAGAATTTATGGATGGTTGTCGCCTTCGTATTCCATATGCGAGTCCCTCTAATAAGGGTATTTACTTGACAGTGCACAGTCTGAAGAGGGATAGAAGTGCTCCAAAGTGGAACGAGGACCCAATGGGTTGGCCACCTAAGTTGAGAAGGTTCTCGAAGTGCTCACGCGAGCACTCGGCCTTGGCCGAGTCTTCTGCAATAAAGCCCCCATTCACATTTCGAACATCCCCTCAGTGGAGAGGGCCTGTTGCCAACTTAGCGAATAGTTTGGCAGTTTTCGTGTTTCACTGGCCTTTGATACTTGGTCCATGGGGGTTGCTATTCCAGCCTTATAGTTTTCGCCTTCGTCTGTAGCCGACTCTTTCGCCACGTTCCGGAGTTGATGGAAGGAATCATTGTTAAGAGACCTAGCCCGAGGCATTTGGGTAGACAACTGCAAGGTTCGTTCGCTGATCCAGTCAGTGCGACTAACTGGCTTATCCAAGAATTCCCCTAACTCGCTTGTATATTGATGACTTCAATAATGACCATTTACGTCTATCCTCTCCTTCTCGGGTCCTAAAGGAAGGCCGGATTTCTGTGCTCAGGGTCTCGACTGTGCTGGGTTGTCGTAATTTCCCGACATCAAGTGGTTTTTATTTAAAGATTTTGGTGCGTATGAGACGTGAACTTTAAGGCATGTGCTGAGGAGAAAATGGTCTGACCCGTGGGCGTTGCCACTTTCGGCACCACTCATAGATCTGTTATCGTGGTCCCATTTTCGGAACTCTGGATCAACGAGAATATAATCAATCTGACTGAGTGTGTGGTCATTGTCTAAATACCAGGCGGTGCTAGAAGCATGTGTCGGTGACAAACAGTCTGTTATAGTCGGCAAAGTTCGACATGCTCTCACATTTGTCGCATCGAGAACCAAGCCGAAAACGGATAATAAGGTGACAATTTGGAGAGTCGCCAAGTTCATTGCGGCTCTGGTAGCCTCCGGAAATAGTCAGCAGATCGCAGCGAGTCTTTCAAGTAAGTCGTGGAACTTCATATGGATTCCTTTATCGTGCTGGTCGCCAGCTGATGACGCATGCGCGGGGATGACAGAGGTGTTCGTAAAGTGGCCCCTCAGCCGTACGTAAACCAGCTGCTTATTCACTGTTTCCCACGAAAGTAGTACATAATTCGCCTTATGAGTGGGCGTCCACCTCACCATATCTACCAGAAGAGTCGCGTGAGCCTCTGGGGTATAGGGCGATTGCCCGCACAACGGGCTCCACTAGACCAAGACAAAACCAGATTGGCCCACGGCACGCGTTAATCGGGCTACGCGGATTACGCGCGATCCCATAACTACCTCCGTATATGGGGGTATTGTGGTGAAATGCAAAGACGTAGACTTTGTGTCGCGTCAACCGCTGCTCTCAGTTCCAGCACTAGCGGGTTGACACGCTCGGACAGTCGACTATTGTATGGGAGGGGAGAGAGGGGGACTAACACTTGGGAATCCACCTCCCCTGCACATAAGCTCATTACTCACCATAATATATTTGAAGCTTTTGAATCTATCACGACAGGCCAAAAGCCTCGGCTTGGAAGGTTACCAACTGCCGGGATAACCCGGCCCTTCTCAGAACTGAGGGCCAGACTGCAATGGCTCCTTAATCCGGCCTTCATGACTCACTGATGTGAGGCTCGAGCTGCCTTCTTTGGAACTCGCATCATGTAGCGGGGACCAGGTCATGTGTGACACACGTAGACGAACTGATGTGCCTTGTCAACCACGGCGCCTGAGCCCGCCCTTCGGTCGCCCTAACTCTGCCTTGGTACGGAGTCCAGGTGGGAGAGATACGGGAGTGTGCGGTAGATGCTGCGAAAGTTACCTATTAGTATAGACTCATTTACGCTTAAGTTGCCGTTCTGCGCCCACCTCGTGGGGCGCGCGGTGGACGTCTTTCGCGATGGTCGAACTCGATGTAGGATGAAGCTGGATTTTCCTCGATATATTTGTTTCCCGAGTGCCTGAGTCGGCCATTTGGACTTCTGACAGGCTGCAGACATCTACGTACTGTTGGAGATTGCCTCGTCAGAATTTGGATACCAGGCTCCGGGAACGTTCGCACATTTCAGCACCCAGTATCAAGAGTCCGTTCCAGATTGAGCAGTCCGGCTCGCGTACTATTTGCCCGCATCACTGACTCTGGGCTGTGGAGCTCTTTGGTTCCCGCAGACGCTGTAGCATGAATCTCAATACGTAAATCGAACATTTTTCATGAAGTTCTCTGGGGGTTTTGAGTACAGTCAGGTCCCTAATGGCTTCTCTGGTTGTTTGTTCGAGGTTGTATTCTGTAGTTATTGAGCTCTTTTTCCTTTTGGATCTTTCCTGTTTCGCGAGGTTGTGGAAGCGATGTGATTTGATTGACTGCCGACTATTCTGGGGGCTGTATGCTCAATTGAACTGGGTCTTAGCTCATGTACTTCTGCAACTTGTCGGTCTGAAACTCCTCTACCTTCCCGAGCATGCGTACACACTCAAATAAATACCCGTTTCTTGCTTTGGAATCACGTTCAATAAGGACTTCCAACTGCATCATTCTCTACGTACACCGAACTCGTCCTTTTCCCCCATTTAGAGCTTTCGTCTGGTTTAAACTGCGTTCGCATTTGTGGCCATATGTGTATCTTACCGGCCAATGCTTTCACATTAATGTACTCCTTCTTGAGCGACAATGAAGTGCATCGTGATCCGGGTAGGAAACCTTACAGCCGGTCCTAGATTAAATTAACAGTAGAATTTCGGCTATTTAAAAGTAGAAATCCGTTAGTCTAAGTTGCTCCGTCCACGTGTCAGTGGAATCTTTTTGTATCCATAATACGTCCGCTAGTTACTCTGCCTTCTGATTAACCTATCGCCTTTTTAGTTTGTGATAGCAAGGCAGATGTATACAGTTCGGCCATTACCTTCTGGGAGATACTCGCGCGCCGTTTTCCATCTCCACCGAATGAGCCCTTTATAGTAACTCTGAAACATCTGTCCTTGGAGAAACGGCGTCCCCCCACACTCTCCAAATGTCCGTCTGTTTTGCAGAATCTTCTGACAAGGTTCGTGAACTGTGGGTCTATCATGAATGCTTGCCATAATCTGAAAGTAGCACGTTTTAGTTTTCTTCTGTTGTCTGGTTTGAACCCATGACTGAAAACTCGGCGTTGCGACCTGCCCTACAAACTGTTCGACACGGTCGGTCGCAACAGCGCAGCCACTGCGACCCAACACGCACATAAATCTAACTGAACGCTCAATTCATGATTTACAGTGGCAATGTTTTCTTCATTGTCTTCAGTGCGTGGTCCGAGGATTCACAGTCCCGACCTAAGATGTCTGAGATAGCACTGTTCCTGCAGTTTGTGGAGGACAGCTTGCTCGGCAGCGGCCTCCTTCCCCTGCCTATGCCCATCGAGACCCTCTCCAGTCGGCGTCTTGCCGGTGATGTGGACCTAAACGAAGATCTTATCTGGGAAGGCGAGGAGGAGAAACAGGAGGCATGTACTGACTGTGAAGGGAATACCTCTGAATGGGATGTCTGTTTTTGCAGAGAGGTCTGTTTTTCTGGTCCAACGGCCTGCACTGTACACTTTTATTTATAACACTTATCAAGAACAAAGTTATCGAAATAAACTGGCGCATATTGACGAGGCGACTGCAGAACACATCCCTAGAACTAGGTACTAAAATTCTAATGATATTGCACATTCATCTGAAACAATCAGAAACGGTCATTTTTCCTCGGGTTATCCTCTCGTCAAAGCATTCAAAAATAACGAGTATAACTAGTGGTATTTGCCCACCGTTTTCTAGTACCTTATGCAAATTAAGTAATTTGTAGTTTGTATAATCAAAGCCAGTTGGCACGTGTGTCAGGAGTTTCGCTTTCTGCCACTTCCTGCTGTGATGGAGACGAGATCTGAAAGCCAAACTGACGGAGTTTCTTTCCCCCTTCCTGCTTGTTGTTTAGCCTTGTGAGGAACTGATTGTCTCTCAGCCCGAATGCTCCACCCTCCCTCAGTCATTGGATTTCAACGAGCTGAACATTCTGTGCGATGCAGATCAGTGAATTCTCTTCTCCGTAGGGACACTAACAGAATCTTGTAAGTTTAGTCCGCTACTACCTATCCAACTACGCTCTAAAGTCTATCATGTTTTCTTATTGCTGTTGTCATCGTCTTCGTCCCCGCCAACGCAATTTGTATAGTCGCCATCAACTTCTCAATACCTCTCACAATCTTGCTTTTTACCTGATACGGCAGTTTAAACGCTAGTGGGTGTCTTGCAAAGAGCTTGCGTCGTTTTGTCACCCGTAAATTTAGAGACAGCTGATTAAACCACCTTGTCTGGACTAAAGAATCAGTGGTTCTTGACTTTCGGCCGACAGCATCAATTATTTCAAAAGCAGAAAATTTGTTAAGGTATTGTGGACGCGTAACGACACGAAAATGCCTAGTTCATCCTGGACATTTAGTCTATTGAGAACAAAAAGGCTGCTCGGCCTGACGACCGCCGGATTCAACCAGCTGACGGGGCTCATGCGTGCCACTTCCGGGACTAGTTATTTTTTCATATCGGCTGCATCACATTGACCGGATAAGCCTGAGTAGTCGGACTGTAAGTTAGCTTTGTGCAGAACCAAGCTTTTATCTTAGCCGTGCGACTTGGTGGAATGTAGTATGACATAGATCAGATCCTGCAGGGCTTTTCAGAAACTCTTTTAACCGACCAATCAGACGGTCTTCGACCTACTTTGAGGGATAGGTGAAGTAAGCCATCGGATACTGAGAAGTGCGTCCAGGCTCTGGCATCAGTGGAGGGACTGTTCTGGATTGGATCGAAACCGTGGTCTGGGCCGGATGTGCTCAGATTGTTTGCTGACATGCATCTCGCTTCACGACAGGACATCGGCAACCTCATTCTCCTTATGGTGGCCCTATTAAGTGACACGGGAAGATTTTCAGGTGGAGTCGAGAGACAAACTTCGGGATGATTGAACCCAGCCACTTCTGGTAGAAGCGATTCGATCACACCAGGGTCACTAGCGTCGCGGCAGCTTACGACATCGGTAGACCCTAGGCACTACGACCTTCAGGCCTGGTCCCGTATAGAAAAGGAAGTGGAACGTCGATAAAGAGAGTACTGCATTCTGTACAGAATAAGTGAAAAATTTGTTCGAGCAAGTTGGCAGCCACGTTCGGCTTTACAAGAGCAGGCTCCGAGTTGATCGTAACAGGCCCCAAAACACCTTGAGCGAGAGAATGTCCGAGTCCAGTTTGAAGTTGATTGACCGAAACCCAGACTGCCAAGGCTACACGCGTGCAAGTACACGCAAGGGAAGCGCTGTGGCAGTCGGCCGGAGTGTGGTCACTACGGGCTTTTCAGATGTTCAAGAGAATCAGCTCCTTTCCCTTAAAACTCCCCAGACTTGGCTGTTCCTTTTCGAAAAAATGATATGTGGCTACTTTCGCCTAGGTTCCGTCAGCTTCTTTCGATTTCCTTCATTTGGTGTGTTCCCCTTAAAGTCGCACTCAAGAAGCTGACAACTGTCCACTGTCTTACAGAAATTATTATGCCTGAATCCTCATTAGCCTCCGTTTATCTACCATCCTCGAGGACGGAATCACGCCCTTTGCTCTTCTTGGCCGTCTTCACCACCCTGAGCCGACGTTTGCTTTTGATGAGAACAGCAACCACCGAATTGACATTTCATACGGCCAACTTCTTCCCAAAGTTTGAATGTGTGCATCAGAATGTTCATATCTAACCTTGCTTCTCTTTGTGAACCGAAACCGAACTTGACAAAAGGGCCCGTTAGAAAAGGCATTGCAAACGGTGTTTGTGCATAAAAGTGGCATATGATATCAAATGATGATGATGGGGGTGGTGGTGGTGGTGGTGGTGCTGGTGGTGATGATGATGATGATGATGATGATGGTGGTGGTGATGATGATGATGATGATGATGATGATGATGATGATGATGATGATGATGATGATGATGATGATGATGATGATGATGATGATGATGATGATGATGATGATGATGATGATGATGATGATGATGATGATGATTTATCACGCATTATGCTCAAAAAATTTCACTCAAAGAAGACTGAAACGTGGTCGCTCCGCGAACAGCCTTCGCTGGATGGATTTTTTACATTTTGGAGTGCTTTCGTAGTTTGCATTTCTTAATCGCCTGTGTTTGAAAATAGTCATCTCGAAAAGGCCATGTCCCGTTTAGCATGGGCGCGGACATACTGTACGTTTGCATGACCGTATTGTCTACTTGGTTGCACATAATGACAGTAAGCATGCACCATCCAGCAAACACTTCCTGTCGCTGGGTACTTTAAAGGCACAAACACTCAAGGATTAGCGCGAACTCCCGAAGTCAACTTTTTCAAATACTTACACACAGGGAACGCCGAACCCCCTCGCACTTGTGTCATGCAGCGGCAGAATATTAGCGAAACACCGTATCTGGGCTTTCAGCTAATACCTGTAGTCAGGTGTGGTATATCATGCCTCTCATACACCTATTTCCGCTCGCATTTGGACCTATAGAGATTAGCTTGCGTAGTGAACTGGGCTTTGTATGCCACAGTTTTATCTGCACGGTGTAGTTCTTTCCTGCGCAATTATTTTTATCTCTCTTTCCTACTTGTCGAACTGGTTATCTCCCATCTTGCGTTCGCGCTGTCAATTAATTGAGTTTCTTTTGACTTGACCACAGATTTTGTAGCGCGCTGAGAGGCACAGGCACGGGCTCGCGCTCCTCTGGGCACATGAATGGCACCTCGATTTGAGGTTGCTCACCTACCCTTCGCCGCTCCATCCTTCCAATCGTCCAAATTCTCTACACGTCTTGCTATTCTGTATTCTATATTTGTACGATATCCTGTTTTTCAACTGACCGACGTTAATAAAATATGCATCAAACTTTCTTCATGCAGAAGGGCATTTAGCGAGTTACGCGTGCTTTCAATAAATTATTCATACAGCTGACTACTCAGCCTTATGTTCCTGTCCACCGGAAATTCTATCATGATAATAAAATACGTAAAATCTCTCGAGCACAAGTTCGGCAAAAATTCCCATATTACGATCGAAAGGTCAGTTGGAAAACATATCGTTTCAGTAACTCATCATCAGGACAATAAATTTACATGGGTTGTGGGCAGAATATAAATGTCTTAGAGGGCATGGATGGTTCCTACGCCGCCTGCATGACGGGGCCAGCGTGTTAAGGACGGTAGAATTGGGGTGGGATGGGGGGAGGAAGGAGAGGGGTTCCGGTTAGATTGTAAGTGCTGCCTGTATGGCAAACACGCGGAGTGCGTGTGACTGTTCTCATGGCGTCGGGACGGCGTACGATCACCTGGAGTCGGCAAGAGAGGAAAGACTGCTTATGTCAACATCTTCTGACGGCAGAGCGCTGGGTTTGCTATTCGGATGGCTACTGCTTCTGCTGTGGCTAGCACCCGTTTGTGCAGGTCTTTAGAGTGGTGTGCCAGCACCCGTTAGATAGCTTTGAAGGCTTTTTTGCCGTCGGCTTGGTGGTTCGCATCGATTAGATGTGTGAGAATTGAACTTGGAATCGACCGACTTTCCACTGTACCTAGTCAGACAGGCATGTGTATGCGTACCCACTTCCAGACGTTTCATACGGTCATTATATCCCTTTCCGCAGGAGCAGGTGAATGAATGAATTCACACGGATGCGGCCTGTAACGGCAGTCGGTCTTTGCCCCCCCCCCCAACCGTGGTAGGGGAGGGTTTGCGAAGAATACGCTGAAGATCGCCGCGGGGAAGCCACTCACGAGAGCTGTCCTGGGACGTTGCCTCGCTAATTTGCTTGCTGTGTCTCCTAAAAAAGGCACAGTCTTAGAATGACTTTTTGTAATTGTCAAACACTCCACAAAATGTTTGTTAAAATATTAGTGTATGAATGCATGCACGATGCGAGGATCATGCATGCTGCCAATAAAAGTCTGCAAACGATTTCCTATTAAACAATACGTGTTGTCCCAGTTTTTTGCCGATATACTATCACTCTTGGTCGGAGGGCGAAAGTTTTCGGATGTCTTTGGCCATAAACAGGAAAGTCGAGAATTACGGATCTGCAGTGTGCAACCAGAGACGCACACTAGTAGGTCACAAGTTGTATTGGTAGGCCTAAGAGGAGCTACCGCAGAGTGCTACCTAAGGCAATAGCAAGTTCTCAACTCAATGGTCAGGGAATCATGCTTCACCGGACAACCTTGACTAGGCGGTGGCAAATAAACAGCTGATATCAAGGGCGGACAGCGAGTGTGCGGCCGGTGTTAAACACAGGCTCATCCAGGTGAAGTGGAAAGAGTCCGGCCACCTCCACGCCCGTAAAGCGCTCTTACAAGCACTGAAGAGTATGAAACGGGGTAAAAGTTCGCATGGCTTCTCAGCAGCCTTCGCGTGATTGGCTCGAAACCCTAGGAATGCGCCACCACAATAATTAGCAATGGTAGTATGCTATTGCATCTTTTGTTTGTGTAAACGACTGTGCCCTAGACCTAGCGTTCTATAAAAATTTAAAACGTTTAGACACCTCTATAGACAATGACCTTTAGCGACTTTTATCACGCAGCTTGTAACACATAATCTATGTTCTTCCAGTTTCGTTGCATCCTAGTTAATTTTGCTGACGAACTTCGTCCTTCAACTTTTGGAAAACTATAGTAGAACAAAATGTCTGATTCTGATAGTTGAAAAATTTTTCTTTTAGCTGTATTTCCAAGTTTGTGACGAAGACAAAAACCCTCACTATCTTTAGATTATCTAGAGCCTTGGCAAATTTCAGTATTTTTTGGCCAATTAGTAGTGCTTTCCGTCTTGAGCAACAAGATATCCCAAAACATTTCGCCAGGATTAAGTAATCTTTGCCGCAATGAGCGTAACGTGTTTAATTATCCTTAGCCCATACCCTTAGCCGTTGTTCCATCCAACGACACTTTATTGCCTTACACAAGATACTGGCCGAATTATCTCGATTGCAGGACGAAACGGTGGTGTTCCGTATTGCCTTTCGTCTTTTTTGAGGGGCCCTCGCAGGCAGCTGCATCGCAAAAAGATATCAACGATCAATAGGCATGCCACAAAAAGACGAGGGAGATTGAAAGGGCTTTCCTTGGTTTATTTTCCCTAGTCGTCCGAGCACATATCTATCCGCGCGTGACTCGTGCACAAGCTCCCAGCTATGAGAGACGAGAGCGCTCTGAACCATCATGGTGCGCCAAGTCATGACATGGGTTGTCAGCGGCGTAGCCTGATCATCCTCTTCATCGATTCAGACTGCAACAGCCTTTTCTTAACGTGGCCATCACGACAACTATCTCGTGGGATCCGAGACCGCCTATCGAACCTGAAGTGTGAGGGCTAGAGAACAGGTCGTGTGAGCCACGTAGACAGGCTGTCCGGCTCTGTCGACTACTGTGACCGCATCCACCTCCAGTTACCACGACTTTCTTCCTGTCATTAAAACATGAGGAGCGGGAACAGGGTGAGCTAGACGCAGCACAAGTCCCTCGGTGTAAGCAAACACACGCACGCCAACACCCCGCCCGCGACGGTCGAACAATTGCCATTGCCTGTGGTGTACCATATTCATAAGCCACCTAAGGTCAAAGCAAACATCCGCAAGGTCACACCAGGATCAATCTCCAAAAGGAATGGCAGGTGGGTCTGGGCCGTGCAGGAGCTAGCAAGAGGAATTGCAGATCCTGACGGGTCACCATTTCCAATTACTCTCGTCCAGGCAAGGGGCCGCTTCACGTGGGGGCTAGTGCAATTAACAAAACCAACAATAATGAACAAGTTACTCATTCATTGAGTGTTTTTCTAATGCAGACTTTCCGTATAATGGTTCTCTCTTTATTGGGCGTTAGGTCATGGTCACCGCCTAAAGAAAACTGGCTATTTTGTCATCCGGTCCAACATCTACATTTTTTCCAACTATAGCATTAGTGACAACTAGCACAAAGTGACAGTAGTTTCAGGAAATGCCTACATCTAAACACGCAGTCGCTGAAATGGCGGGGTTTCTAACCATCTGGCACTGATTGGGATACCAACTCTTGCCCAGCCTGGAATTTAAAAACTAACTTTTATCGATTTTTTTCACTCACAGTACCCCGTCCTATGTAACTGTATTGGCTTGGTGAGAAGTTACCGAAAGGAACGTTCGCTCACCAATGTCTCTTCTTACCTAATTTAGTCGAACCCGGTGATGCACAAGCAACCGAGGATCCCGACTCGCTAATCAGTCTCCCTCCCAGGTACTGTTACAGTTGGAATTCCATCGCAGGTTCTGGAGACAGCTAGACCATGATTTCTAGGCTGTCTTTGGAATACACGGCTGAGACCTAATCGAGGACCCAAAACGCGCCAACGGAAACATAAAGGGCAATGATCGGGTGGGAGAGAATTACGATAGAGCCATCGGCACAACTCGAACACACACAAAAGAGCAGAATAGCAGGAAGCAAAGGCAGAATTAGCATATTTTTTGGTAGATTGAAAGCCCGCGCCTCGGTTTAACGGCATGTGTCTCGGCTCTTGGATGGAGATGAATAAAAACGCAATTCTGAGATACGAAAGTGACAAGGATAGAGGGAAGGAGGTTCGAAAGTAAGTTAGTAGTGATGGATCAGAGACATATTCAAATAATGAGTAAAAATAAGAAAGTGCGAAAACGCCTTGTGAAAGGAGAACGACGGACTGAAATGTGCTGTGCGGACTACGAAGTGGGAGTGATGGTGATGGGCGTTACTGCAGCGGCTTCCAGGATTTTTGAAAGATGGGCATATCGCACGAGGCCGAGGCAGAATGCGAACCGCTGCAAAGTGACCCGGGCGTAAAAGTTGGCGCGAATGCCGTCCGGTGGTTGAGCCGGTCCCAGCAACCAATCAGAGGCCCAACAGACCTGCAAAAGTTCGGTCAGTTGGCGACACAAACGTGTTTTGCCTTTAAGACAGAATCGGCGTACGCACGTCAACTCGGCCGCCAACCAGGGTGCGGAGGAGTCAATTTCTTCCGCTGAGAACTACATTATATATACAGAATGCGAAAAAAATTCATGAAGCATACTAAAATTCATGGAAAACCGGGACTAAGCAAGATGCTAGTCCCAACGCATAAGAAAAAAGCACGATTAAGACATAAACAACCCCCAGCAAAATAAGACACAAGACGATTTCGAAAGTAATATAAAGTGGCCTAGAGATAATAAAATATTAAACTTTGCGGAAAAAGCAGGCTTAAACGGACCGCCAAACGTTCAAGTAAATAACATAGGTCTATTATACCACCGTCAACACATAAATACAGTAGATGTGCTAACTCATGAAATGTCAACCAAAATTTCGAAATGCGTTCTCGTTCCGAAAAGATAAATTAAGTATCGTTGTTAAACTAATCATGATGCAGCATAAATCTTTAATGATCCAGTTACCTCAGGGTGTCGGTTTTCGAAAGAACTTATTTTCGGTTGCATGCAAGATCTATACTCTGCGAAAAATGACTAATTAAGTAGCATGCAATTTTCTCACTGATGTTCGATGCCCTTGAAAATTTAGTTATATTTCATGGAAAACATGCAGAAAATATTCATTCTTTTAATTATTCGCCAGAAAATCACGCCTTCTTTCAATTTCATACTCAAAAGAAGAGTATAATTCGGTTTTAAAAAAGTTTCTAATTTTGAGATTTTTTAATACCGCTAAGAGGCCGTTCATGAAACGTCATGTATCTGCATTTACGAATGTGGCTTGTAAAGTTAACGATATTGCTCAAATCCACTGCTTAATTCTATTAACCTCATATGGTCTCCTCTTAACACCGTAGAGAAATGCATGGCTTTCCGTACAAGGAAAATATACAGCTCGTAGTTTTGAAACCCTGAATGCAAGTGTAACAGCAGGTCGGGTTCCAAATTATTCGGGAATTAGAAAAAATTTTTTTAAACCGAATTATACTCTTCTTTTGAGTATGCAATTGGAAGAAGACGTGATTTTCTACCGAATAAGTAAAAGAATGATTATTTTTATGCATGTTTTCTATGAAATATAATGGAATTTTCAAGGGCATCGAAAATCGATGAAAAAATTGCTTACTACTTAAGTAGTCACATTTTGCAGAGTATAGATCTCGCATGCAGCCGAAAATAAGTTCTTTCGAAAGACGACACCCTGAGGTAACTGGATCATTATAGATTTATGCTGCATCATGATTAGTTTAACAACAATATTTAATTTATCTTTTCGAAACGAGAACGCATTTCGAAATTTTGGTTGACATTTCATGAGTTAGCACATCTACTGTACGTGCAAAGTTAAACGTCGTTCAAGAAAACGTAAGTTTTACTTCGCAAATTATCCGGACGAGTTTCCCAGCTTATCTTCTGACAAGTTGTTTTGACACGAAAGCTTTTAAAATTAATGCTACTTAATAAAGAACCCGAAGATTATTCCGTTTGCACTTGAGGACCATACATGCCATCGCCTTACGGAATTCCCATATATCGGTTGTTTAGCCTTTTAAGCCATTGCGTCCATGCAAATCTCCGATCGCCTCGACCTTGTCCCTTCTCCGAAACGAGAGGGACAAAGTGGGAAGAATAAGGTGGGGTACACGAAGCGCAAGCTTCCTTTACTACAAACAAATCTACGCGAGGTCACCACTGCGCCCTCATTGTTCGCGCTGAGCGAACTACCGCTTTTGTGGTGGGCTGTCCTAGGCGGTATAATGGCGAAGGAGCGAAATAGACTGGAATGGCCATCTCTAGCTTAGTTATCGTCAACGGTTCGTCATACCCTGAATCCGGGATGGGAACCCGTGATTTGAAGCAGAGTCAGTTGGCTAACGGGCATTTTTAAGTCAAATGGTCGATCATTTGAGCTACGAGCACACCCTATGTCGACTGCGACGGGGAATATTCAGTCACATGAGAATATGATTCACCGACCTATCCGAGTCGCAGGACGGTAATCTTAATTTCAATTTTGCCTCGTAGGCCTGGGTCTACAGTCGCATAGCATGAACAAGGTTCCATGGCGAGGACTCTAGACTCAGAAATCTGAGGCAAAGTGGAAACGTCATCTTCTGTCCTGGAATCATGGTGAACTGGTGAATGTTGCCTCCATTGGTCATACTCGCTGCTGGCGTACGACTGCTCCTGGACTTGTTTATATGTCATTGACAGGCTTTTCCGCCCGGGACGAGTCAAAGGAGTGGAAAAGAGAAAAAATTCACCTGGAGGTTGATTAGAGTGGAGGAAAATAAATGTCACACCGTTATGCGCAAATGCTGCCACTTGACCACAGGAGCGAATTTATTCCTCCCTCGCCTCTATGAAACCAAATTTTCTCATCCCGTTAAATAAGCATGCATTCATGAAGACTTATCTGACCTTTGCAGCATGCTATGCGACAAAGAATAATAAACACTGTGTCTAGTTTCCACCCACAGCTAATAATAATCAGAAGGGAGAAGGATTATATGCACGAAGAGTCACAGCCCGTCGGGACAAGTAGCATCAAAAAGCGATGACGGTCTTGGTGGTGCGTCTTACGTAGAAACTTGGAGCCGGAGCAGGAGGATGAAAAAAACGGGCTTATGGGTATAGGAGCGAGTACAGTGAAAGTGTTCACATCTGCGAAGGGGTGGCAAAACGACTTCGCGCAGCCTTACATGGACATCCATAAACAGAGAGAAAGAACCCAGCAAGAGGAACAGTGAAGAAGGGTGGGGGTTGCTTACAGTGAAAGTCTTCAACAACTCTTTCAGGAATCCCTGCTTCCCCTCCTTCTTTTGTTGGGGCAACGCTGTGATAGTTTCAGTTTCCAAATTGAGATCAGTGGTGACCAAAGCACGCCGAGAGAGGTTTCGAAGGAGGCACCAGACATGCAGCGCGTCGGCGACCAAATGAGCCGGAGGACGCTTGGCGGGGTCTGTGCGTAGGCAGGCATGCAGCAGCCAACAGACGATGCCTGGTGCAGAGGGCGGAGCTGCTGGAAGCTGATCCTCTTCGTAATTCAGGCAGGAGAGCTCCTAGCAATAAAATAAAATACAGACTCAGACGTGCTTGGACATAGGTAACACCTGCTGGCTTTGGGATGGTTTCATTACGCGGGAGGACGTTGAACCAAGTCAACATGCACAACACCATTACGCATAAGACGGGCTGCAAACATGTTGTGTTGATCTACAGAAAAGAAACGATATATAAATAAGTACTACCAAAACCTCCCCCGTCCTCTAAAAAGGCACATCGACTTTATGGCGCTCTGGATAATGCGCTTTAAGCCGTCGCGATACAGTCAAGCAATTTCGGACGTAGCAACTAAGAATGACTAAGCGTCAAACTGGAGACTACTCAGGGGCATGCAGACCGCATAGGAGATAAGTTACCGAGAGTAACTAAAGTCAACCAGCATAGGTCTGCACACGAATCTCTTTAGCATAGTTGTATACACTTAGTCGACAGTCAAGTGAGTCTGGGCGCAGGGGTAGATGTCCAAGGCGTGTACTTTTGTTGAATCCTGCACACGGCAAAAACGAACGACCGATGCGATGATGTCTATTCTGTAGTGTATAATGCAGTCCAGAAATGTGCACCGACGAATCGAGGTCCCATTTGAGACAGCAAGACGGGCGAAAAGCCCGCGGTTAGATTTACCCACCTCGTTGTTTAGAAGTGAAGGGTCATTGCATGTGGGGTACAGCATGAACGAACGGTGAGTGAAGTAAAGACATCGAAATGATAGTGAAGACTGCGGTCACATACTGAAGGAAAATCCATCATCAAGCGAAACAGGACCGGATCATTCTGTGTACCGGGATGACAGTGCAGTTCATTATTGGACGACCAACGGGATACGAACCCTTCATCGACGCAATTATCAGACTTGAGTCTGAATGAGCATAGATGGAGGCATTTTTGGGAAAAACTGGTCTGACAGTTTCTGCCAAGCCGAAGACTCCCGAAAGTGATTTTAATCAAAACCAGAACGAGATACCCATTACAGCTGTCCGTCGTGTAATCGAAAGAATGCCCGGAGGACCCGGGAAATAGTAACCACGATCTGCATAAACTGGAGGTATTGAATTGGAATATATTAAGATCTGCTTTCGTGATGAGCAAGATCGCTGCGTCTGCCTTTGTTCTCCTCTGGAGTTGCGCGTTTGAAATGAGAGACAGTTGTTTTATCGGGGTATTTATTAGGAGGTAAAAGTTCGGCCGAATAAGAGGGAGCGTTTTTGCCAGCATGCTTACATCGGACTCCGCCAGAGTAATTTAGTTTATGAAGGCAACGGCATCGCTGGTACACGGTTCTCACGCACTCCCCAAGCTCTATTCCGCAAATACCAAGCATGCTGATTGACTGCTTGTCTTCGGTAGTTCACTAGCCACATGGGGGGTGCACGGGTGGCGTGGGCTGAAGCTGTTGGTCGGTTGTTCTACGACAGTGTACTGACGTCGCCCACAAAACTCACGGATGGATCTGGCAGATACTTCTACTTCGTTCGACTCTGGCACGAAAATATCAGCCGTGGCCCGAGGAAGCCATGCCCAGCAAAAGGGCCACACCCCGATGGCCGTCCACAACCGGCGAGCTAAACCAGATAAGGGTACCTGGTGTCTCCAAACCCGGTATTTCCTTCATTCATTCACATCCCCTCCCACCCCAAAAAATAAGGTCCTACGAAGCGAGCGACAGTAATGGCGAATGCGGCCCAGGCTAGCTTGTCAGGTCTTTCGAGTAAACCAAATTAATGACCGACAATGATTAGGCAGCCGCGCGAGATGACCCATCAGTCCTACTTTGGGGCGTCGAGTTCACCTTAAGAGAAGGGCCTACAAAATGTGCTCTAGAAATGCTGAAAAACAACCACCACCAACAATGTAGACTTGACGTCAACTTGCTCACACTGCGAACTCACACTCCAATCGCGCATCGACCTGGCCGATCGTCAAAGAATTCGATGCAGTCCGAATAAAGAACCAATGCCCGGAACGCGGGCCACTAGCTCTCACGTACTCCTTGCCTGTCTATAGTGTCATAAGACACGCATAGGTTTATTCAGCCATAGGCAAACGACAGTTCGATCGTCGCTGCCGACGATGTCCACCGTGCGCTCCACAGCAAAGTGGAGCAGAGATGGTGACTTGCGCGTGATTTAGTTAATAGTGAATGTAGAATTGTGAAGCATCTACCGCACGCTCTCCTCCTACTCCCCCAGCTGGACCCGGTGTCAAGACATAGTCAAGAAGACCGGAGGCGAGGGAGGGCACAGGTGGATGGCACGGTCGAGCCCGCATCTTGGCGTTCCACTCCACACCACCAGGCTTTGACCGACAACAAACAAGGGGGAGGCTGGCACGACCAGAGCCGCACCTTGGTGTGCAGTCACACCTGGCTCGGATCTCACGGAGTTGGAGTGCCAGAAAGGCCACATTAAGAGGGAGCCATTGCAGCCTGACTCTTAAACCACCAGTCGGCCGCCCCACACAAACACAACACTGGGTCGACTGCGAGGTCCAAGTTATCCCGTCAGTTGACAACCGTCCAAGCTACGGCTTTTAGCGCACTGTGATAGCTTTAAGCGCGCCAGATTGTTTATAGTGTGAAAAATACGCTGGGTCGTCGACCTCACTATCCCTTCTAATTCCCAGGCCGTGTAACTGTCCGAGCCGGTCAGTTGACAGGTGCGGGGAATGGGCGCGGTGGCTGACATATAAAGTGACTCTGTCGACGCGCGTCACATGCACTACTTGGCTCCCTAAACAGAAGCACCAGAATTTCACACAAGAGGGGTTGAGCGGCGTACATCTCACATGCGTGAGTGCCGTAGGCCACGTTAAGAAGGAGCCGTTTCAGGACGGCTCTTGGCCCACCAGCCTGCCACTCCACACAAACATTCATACAACTAGGCAGACTGCGTGCACTGAGTTGAGGCGTCGGTCAGCAGCCTTCCAAGCCACCGAGCTTGACGCGTCATGATAGCCTCAGACTTGAGTCACACATGTGGCAATGAAGCAGCATGGAGACGGAGCCGAGATGCACACTACCCACTTGCGTGGAAGGTGGCAAGTGTATGCCTGTGGTGGGTGATACTGTTGCGTGATGCAGGTGAAGGAAGATGTGATGGTGTGGTTTAGCTGGAGGTTGTCTACCGCAGGTTTTCGTGAATGAGCATGTGGTCTAATAGGCCATGTGGCGGGTGAATGTGCGGGTGCGGTGAAAGCACTTGCGGTGGATGCGTCTGGTGCTTGTTGGCGCTCCAGGCACTGGTTCACCAGTCTCTGTGCGATGGATTCGCAAGTGACTGACCAGACCGATGGGTGAGGTGAATGTACGAGGACAGTGTGGACAGGAAAAGTCGGCGGTGTTAGTGTCGATTTCGGAGATTGTGGCAGTGGTGGAGCTGTTGATGATGGACGCGTTGGGCGACGGGGTGTGGATTGAGCTAGGCATGGATGTGTAAGAAGTGCTGGGTGTGACCAGACTGCGGTTAATTCCGCTCTCGTGGATACGCATGTGATTGAATAGACCCACGCTGTGAGTGAATGTGCGAGGACAGTGGAGACGAATGCAGCGAGTGTAGGTTGGTGCTCCAGGCACTGGCTCGCTAGTCTGACGGCGTGGGAGAGGTAGACGGAGACGACGTTTGGTGCAGCCCGGGTACTGCTGTTGGTCCGGAGGTGTCCAACAAGTCCTACTGGCGCCCGGAACGTCTGTTGACGTGGTGGACACGTTGGAGGCGGTTGGGCGTCGGCGTTGTGAGATGCGACAGCGGTAGGTGAGATTTGCGTGTCTCGCGTTTGGCTTTGGCGGCGGTGATGCGGTTGGCTTTGAAGATCGCCGCGGCTGTCTTTACTGTCCTCTTCCAGGTCGGTCGGTCACCAGCGAGGACTCCCACTTGGCCACGTTGATCTGCAGACGCTTCAGGAGAGTCTTCAGAGTATCCTTGTAGCAGCGGATCTGGCCTCCATTTCGGTGGGAACCCATGGAGACATCTCCATAGGAAAGTCGATTGGGTACCCCCCCCCCGTCGTTTATCCGCACCTGGTGGCCGCTGCAGCTGTCTCAGCACGGCGTAGATGCTGAGGATTCACGTCCGCTGCAGTACATCTGTGTAGAGGATCCGGTCCTCCCACCTCAGCTTCAATATCCGTCAAAGACAGCTGACATGGAAGTGAGTCAGTCTTCGCGCCGGCTTCGTGTAGACCGTCCAGGTCTGCGCTCCATACAGCAGCGTCGGCAGAAGGGTCGCCTTGAACATTGTCAGTTTAATGTTGACGTGGAGACCGTGGCGATTCCGGTGTTTTGCAGACGGGCGAAAGCTTGGCTGGCTTTGGAGATTCGGAGGGCCACTTCATAGTCGATTTCGGTGGTGCGGGGGAGGGTGCTGTCCAGGTAGGTGAATTTGTCCACCAATTGCAATTTGGCGCCATTCACGTTGATTTGGGCTGCGACGTAGTCGGCGTCGGGAGGCGGTTGGTGCCTGACCACCATCTTCTCCGTGTTGATGATCAGGCCGAAGCTGTCGCAGGCGACGGCGAAGAGGCCCATGCCCCCTTGCATGTCCCCTTCTGAGGTGGCGTTGAGGGCGCTGTCGTCGGCGAAGAGAAGTTTATGGACGGCCGCTGCGGATACACGCGACTGGAAATGCATCCACCGGTGGTTGAGGAGTTGGCTGTCCGTCCTGTGGGCGATGCGGATCCCAGGACGTCCGCCACGGTCGGCGTCCATCAGCATGACAGAGAACATGAGACTGAAGAGGGTGGGCGCGAGGACGCAGTCCTGCTTCCCTCCTTTGATCACTGCAAATGCCTCTGAGACAGCCCCATTGTCCGTGGCTCACGCCATCATGCCATCGTGGAGCTGGCGCACCATGTGTGTAAATCGCTCGGGACAGCCGAATTTCTGCATGATTTTCCGCAGTCCTTCGCGATCCAGTATGTCTAAGGCTTTCGTCAGCTCCACGAAGGTAGAATACAGGTGGATCTGCATCTTCTGACACATCTGCAGTTGGCGGGCGGCGAAGATCATGTCCGTAGTCCCACGACGACGGCGGAAGCTGCACTGGTTTTCCGGCAGGAGACCATATTCCAGATGGTGGTTCAGGTCGTTGAGGGGAATGTGAGCGAAGCTCTTCCCTGTGGTGTTCAGCAAGCAGATGCCTCGATGATTGTCAAAGAGCTGGCGGCTACCTTTCCGCTTATAAATATGGACAATTGTGGAGTCCTTGAAACCCTGCGGGACTTCTCCTCGACGCCACATCTCCTGGAAGAGCGCCGTCAGATGATCCATGACTTGGGGGCCACTGTGCTTGTAGATCTCAGCGGGGATCGCGTCCGATCCGGGTGCTTTCCATCCGGAGAGCTGTTACACGGCTCTGCTGGTTTTATAGAAAGAGGAGGGGAGATCGAGGTCGGCGTTGGTCTCCACCTGGGGCAGACGGATGATGGCGGCGTCGGAAATGGTGGAGGGACGATTGAGGACGCATCGGAAGTGCTCGGCCCATCGCTAAAAAATTTGTGTCTTCTAAGTGAGTAGGGTACTCCTGTCGGCGCTGAGAAGGGGAGCATTTTCTGTGGTTGTGAGACCGCAGACAGCCTTGATTGCGGCGAAGAAGTTCTTCCATTCGTTGCGGTCCACGTACCCTCGGATCTCCTCGGTCTTGCGAGCCGTCCAGATGTCCTGCATCTCGCGCAGCCGCTGTTGCAGAAGGCTGAACTGTTTTCGTCGGTGGGACGGGTGACGTCCGTTTTGTGCGGGCGGTTCTACTCGGCGAGCAGGTTGCTGATGGCGACGTCGTTGTCATCGAACCCCAGTACTGATGTTGGCATCGTGCGTGACCGAGGACAGCCAGAACCGTCGACTGAACTGTCCCCCAGTTGACACTATCGGTTCTCCACGAAGGCGTTCACGTCAGCGGCGGCGACTGGAAGAATGGCTAGCCGTCGAGCTAGCTCGTTGCTGAATTGGAGATGGTGAGCAGGCAGAGACAACAAAGTAATATTCAGCTTACTTCTGGGCCGCCTACCTTGAGGTCTCCTGCGAGGCTGTAGACGAATCCGCATCTTGGGGATGACGAGACGACGGTCAACCTACCCGTCGGCATCCAGGACCGCCTTTGTCACCAGCACGTCCCGCTGGTCTTGTCTCCGGACGAGGACATAGTCCAGCAGGTGCCACTGACGCGACCGAGGGCGCATTCAGGTGGCCTTCTTTCGCATTGGCAGGCAGAAGGTGTTCGCCAGGATGAGTCGGTGTTCTGCGCAGGTTCGTAGAAGGAGCAGGCCATTATTGTCGAAGCTGTTGAGACCATGGGGACCTAGCACTCCTCTCCAGGCATCATGGTCTGTGCCCATGCGGGCGTTAAAGTCACCAAGGACAGTCAACTTATCCGCGTTCGACACAATTGCCAGGGGAGCATGCAGGTCCTCGAAGAATTTGTCCCTTGCGGCGTCAGGGCTAGTCATCGGTGGAGCGTAGACGCTGATGATGGCGGCGAATTTGCCTCCCTGAAGAGGCAGGCGGAGGCTCATCAGACGATCGTTGTTGCAGAGTCAGACAGGGCAGGCATCCCACGATGTCATTCCGGATGGCAAAGGCGACACCCGCTCAAGAAGAAGGTGTGGCCGGCACCCACCTCCTCCAGTTGGCCTTATTCGGAGAGCCGGGTCTCGCTGAGTGCAGCCATGTCCACCTTGTAGCGCGCCAGTTCTCGAGCCACTAGCGCCGTCCTCCGTTCCGGTCGGTTGCTCCCGGGATTGTCTAAAAGGAAACGCACACTCCAGGCTGCAAGAGTGAGCGGACTCACCCTACCAGTCTGGTGAGTGGGGCAACAGGAAGAAGGAGGGGGAAGAGAGGGAGAGAGAGTATTGTTTCTTGTGTGACTGTTTTGACAGTGTGTTTTGTGTCTGCGGCCACGGTCAGCCTGCAGATGGCATGGGTCCCCAACATTTGTTTAGGGCACCTTTTCTGGCCCCTTCCTCCCTCGCGGAAGTGAACAGCGCTCTCAGTTGCCCTAGACGGCTGCTGAACTCCAATATGGGCCACGACTTTTGTTTATTTGGAGAACGACCCGAGTTAGCCTGGGCCTGCCTACGACATCGCCGTAGGCCTTGTAGGAGGGAGGGGGGTAGGGGAACGGTAGTGAGACGGGAAACGGAGCTTCCCCGTCTCTCTCTAAGCGAACTGATTGCTGAAATATATCAGCGGTGAGCAAACAGATTCAAAGGAACGGCACTTGGCGCACAGCAAATACAAACAGAAACAAGTCCGCCTCACTGTGAACAAATTCGCGTCGAAGTTATGGCTGCGCCGCCGTCGTGACCCATTGTGACGATTAAACTGCCGTCATTTAATTGGATTTTGAAGAGCAACTCCCACAAACAAGGACTTTCGTTCAGGAAATTGCACCGCCATTAACCAGACTTAAACAGCCCCCCTTGAAAAGGCGTCTACTGCCACGACAGTGATGAAAGACACTGGGATGGTTTCCAATAAATAAATCTTTACCGCTGTGTTCTCCGGGACGCAAAAGTACACATTACGGAGTAAAACGATGCGAGCTTTCCAAGTAAGTTGATGATTAGCCTCACCCACAGCAGTCGTACGAACTGGTTTTGGAGTAGCACTTCATGGAAAAGGTCATCCATACGCTCTTTTTCTCGGAGAACCTAACGCATTCGTAAAATGCGGTTTTGTGGAGAGGGAGGAGAGGGACTAGAACGGCCGTTTCTGACTCATTTGCCATCACCACTCAGCCCTAACTGGACCTAAGACAGGGCTGACCTCTGCCGGCCTGGAATTAGGGCAGGTGCGGTTGACGATGGCTATGCCGTCATAGCCTTCCCGACAATACTTCTAGAATATTCGCTTCCATTTACTATGCTAATTCCCGAAAGGTTTTTATGTCGGGACTTCAACGCGAAACGAAACGCCCGCATTTCGTTCTACACTGCAGATAAATTGGTAAACAACACTTTCATGTGGCTTTCGCTTTTGATTTGTCCATGGATTAGGTGGTGAAAACAACTTCCCGAAAGCCTAATAAGAATTAGGCGCAGTGCAGTTTGTGTCAAAATTAAATACAGACATCTGCATTCAGTAAACACTTTTCTGTGGCAATGTGGGAACGCTTGGGAGGACAATTCCAATATGACAATGACAGTGGTGGCATCGGTGTTCATCTGCAAAAATTTGGCTGGCATCCACCCAAGTACTGGCACAGACATAGACGGTGTCCATTTATCTTCCATGCTCGCGTATAATTTTACGCCAGGTTTGGTTACGCGAGCCGTAAGACAGGGCCTCTTATTGTCTTCTCGTCTGTCCTGCTGACGGCGGGCCAGACCTGCAAAGACCAATGTGGCTGCACTTTCATCTCTGGAAGGGCATCAGTTTTATGGGAAACTGCGCAAGTTCACAGAGTTGCTGGTATATAATGAGTGTCCCGAGTGATATGCCAGGCCTCTAGCGTAAATAGGTGCTTGTCACGTGCCTCGGGACCCGAATTCGTGGCGGAGTGCGACTGGACTAGCGGTTTAAAAAGCACATTTTCCTCGAAACCTCCGTCTGTGAGGGCCAGTACTCGGAACTATATAGAAGGCGATGGCGGCGACCTTGAAAGCAAGCTTCCACCTAGGTTAAAACTAGGACGAAGTTATCGGTCATGGCGTGGTAAAAAGAATATTTGTGCGATAAAGGGCGTAGTCCAAGTCCTGACCACGAAACGAGCGTGTGTGCTTCATATACATTTAAATCACCCCGGTTTATTCTCATCGTAAAGGAGATTAGTAAGATTAGTAGATATAGCAGTTATGGGAACTTCATGCCAATATTCTCTGGGTTTTCCTTGAAACAATGCTAGTTTATTTATCAGAGAAGACGCAAGCGAAGTCAGAATAACTTGGATATTGTTTGCGGCTCTATAGTAAAAACAGTAAGATCAATAGAGCCTAGCTGCTGGCTACCCGGCGCGTCCACAGGTGGCGGATAGTGGGACGACCTTCAGTGAAGGTTAGCTGCGAAATAAGCAGACCCAGGTCTGACGAATAAGCAGTCGCGGACCAGCAGCGACATTGCTACCAGGGTGCGGTGGGCTGAAGTCTGGCACGCTGAAAGCCTTATAAAATGCCGCAAAGCCCAATGACGGCATTGTGACATGGCGACCGTAAACCGCCATTAAATAAGTTTACTTGCCACCGCTGCCTTGTGGTTAGGTTTTTAAGCCAAAGCGCTAGAGGAGACAACCTCGAACAAACAATCCGAGCGGCTGTTGGGGACCCGCCCGTATTCGAAATTCCCAAGAAACCTCGTGCAACATGTCCAATAACAGTACTACGACCCATGCTACGGCGTCCGCGGGAACCGACGCGCTCCGCAACCCTAGTCCGGTGGTGCGGGCGAATAGTATGCGAGCTGGACTACTCAATCGTGGAAGGACTCTCGGTATTGGATGCTGGAATGTACGAACGTTCCTGGACCCTGGTTCCCAAAGTCTGACCGCACGCAGCCTTTATCAGTACAACGTGGATGTCTGCTGTCTGTCTGAGGTACGACTTCCTGACTCGGGCTCTCGTGAAATAAAGATCCCGGGAGTCGAATCCCACTTCACCCTGTACCACAGCGGCCCCCGCGATTCCTCTGGTCGACACGGTGTGGCGATCGCCTTATCACAACAAGCGGAGCTTGCGCTACTTGCTTGGGAACCAGTCAATGACCGGATGGCCTACGTGCGACTGAAGGGTCACTTCACGAACATCTCCATCGTCGCTGTGTACGCACCAACTTCGGCTGCCGAACAGCGCGATAAAGAGGCGTTTTACTCTCAGTTGCAAGCACTAGTTGAAAGACTGCCTCGCCGCGATCTGCTGATTGTTGCTGGCGATTGGAATGGTCGAACTGGACCTGGCGACCCCACAACCAGTCATCTTCTTGGCCGCTTTGGGCTTGGTTCTCGATGTGAAAATGGTGAGAGATTGCTGAACTTCGCTGATCGAAACCGACTGCTTGTCACCAACACATGCTTCCAGCATCGCAAAAAACATCTGCTGACCTGGTATTCAAACGACGGTCGTACGGCCAGTCAGATTGACTACATACTAGTCAGCTCAAGGTTCCGCAGCTGGGTTCATGATAGCAGATCGATGCGTGGTGCCGAGACTGGTAACGCCCATGGGTCGGATCATGTCCTCGTCCGTACACGCCTGAAAGTTCACCTCTCATCCGCACCACAAATGCCACGTCCTAGACGCCTCAATGTCGCAAAAATCCGGCAAGCCAGCACTGCCGAGGCCCTAAGCAGAGAAATCCGGACCTGTTTTACGGCCCGAGTCGACGGAGAAGTCATTAACCAGTGGTCGTCACTGAAGACATCAGTCTATGGGGCAGCTGAGAAAATCCTTGGATACACCCAGCGACGCCGCAGTGACTGGATCAGCGGAAGAACCCTGGAGTTGTCTGCTCAGACGGCTAGAGGCAGGTCCCGCAACGATGACCATTTCCGCCAACTTCGGAAGATGACGGCAAAATCGGCCAGGGATGACCGGAAACAATATTGGGCTGAAATAGCGACATCCATGGAACAGGCCTCGAACGTTGGTGACACTCGAAAGCTCTACCGTCTGATCCGCCAAGTTAGCGGTAAGCCCTCTACACTGAGTGACTCTGTTCGCGATGTGAACGGCGGCTTTATTGCTGACAACTCAGCCAAAGTCGAGCGCTGGCGTGAGCACTTTGAGCACCATCTCAACTTCGATACCCAACCTACATCGCCCTTGTTCTCCTCCTCAGCGGAGTTTCTTCCCTCTCCTACCTATGCAGTGCCATGCGATCCCCCCTCCGAGGAAGAAGTCGCCGATGCCATACGAAAGTTGCGCAACAATAAGGCACCCGGAGAGGACGGTATACCCGCTGAAATCTTTAAGTCTTGTGTCGACACTCTGGCGCCCTGGCTCCATGAGGTGATTGAAAGCGCGTGGAGAGACGAAGTTGTTCCTGATGACTGGGGCTTAGGCATCCTTGTACCTATCCTCAAGATTGGGAGATAAGACGAGATGCGAGAACTACCGCTGCATTAGTCTCATCGACGTTGCTGCGAAGATCTTCGCTATTGTCCTACTCGGACGATTCCAGGCTGTGCGTGACTCAAGGACGAGGCCCAACCAAGCCGGATTTCGTGCTGGACGTGGATGCGCAGATCAGATATTCACACTGAGGCGCATTCTCGAATTTCGCCATAGCTACCAACAACCGACGGCCGTCTGCTTCGTTGACTTTGCCGCCGCGTTCGATTCCGTTCACCGTGAGTCCCTGTGGCGGATAATGGCGCTAGATGGTGTACCGGCCAAAATCATCGCCATGATCAAGGCCTACTATCGTTCCACTACTGCGAGAGTCCTGGTCCGTAACAATTTTTCCCAACCGTTCGGTATTCGGTCTTGCGTCCGACAGGGTTGTATACTCTCACCCATACTGTTCAACTACGCTATTGACTGGATCCTCGGGAGGGCCCTACGCGACAGTGACGGTATTGAATTTGCACCCGGACATCGACTGACTGATCTCGACTATGCCGATGATATCGCCTTACTTGCTTCAAGTTTTGGTGATCTGCAGTCTATGGTGTCACGAGTGAACGAGGTCGCTAAATCAGTCGGTATGTCCATAAACGCTGGGAAGACCAAAGTATTCTCAAGCTGCATTCCTGACCAGGAGAAGGCACCCCTGGGGATTGATGGCTGTCAACTTGAAGAAGTGGACAGTTTTAAATACCTCGGGGCGCGGCTGCTGCCTAATGGACAGAGTAAGGACGACATTGTCTCCCGAATCGATGCTGCCCGCTGGGTTTTTTTAAGCCTTCGGAAATGCCTGTGGAACCGACGTGACCTCTCCATCGCCACTAAGATTCGCGTGTACCGTGCATCTGTCCGGTCTGTCCTTCTCTACGGTTGTGAATGATGGGCTTTGCGTGTGGCGGATGAGCGAAACCTGGAGGTATTTGACCACCACTGCTTGAGGATCATCCTTCGAGTGAAGTTAACCGACTTCGTCTCAAATGAAATAGTCCGCGCTCGCTGCGACAACATCGCGAGGATAACTCAGGCCATCCAAGAAAGACGACTGAGGTGGTTCGGGCATGTTCTTCGTCGTCCACCTCAGGAGCTCAGTGTTACTGCCCTCGATCCGGCACCGTTGCCCAATTGGAGGCGTCGAAGAGGGGGTCAGTTCAAAACCTGGCTCGACACTGTCCGTCAAGACATGGAGGTGGTTCTTGGACCTTCGGTATTCGGTCTCCGTCGTTGGCGAAGGGAATGGGTTGAACTGTCTAGATCTGCGGCCGCGGATCGTCACGCGTGGAGAGGTACAATTCGGGACATCATCGAGGCCGGCTAGATCAGGCATGATCGCAGCCGTATCAAGTACAAGTAAGTATAGAGCACGATAGACTTTACAAGGCTGTGTAGAAAACTGGAAAGTGGACATATACTCAAGGTAATTAGACAAGCAGTCATGCGTATGATACCAACGCGTGGTGATCGATTTAGAAGCGAACGAGAGCAAAGAACAAGGTGAATCGAGAAGTGAGAATGCAGAAACAAAGAAAACGTGATTCGGATAAAGTCTGATTACCAATAAACAGCTAACAGCAAATAAAACAAGAGTACAATATTGACGTTCGGAATGTCATACTGCCCCTCGAGGCTCGAACTCTTGACGGTTCGCAAGTTTCACGGAGTTTCCATCTTCGATCTGAGCTTGCTACTTCGTCGACCATAAATTTTTCCGCAACCTCCGCTGTACGATCGAGTCAAATGCTGATTAGCACCAAGAGTCTGACGGCAAGAAACATCGCCTTGTGGTGTTTTCGTGTCGGGGGCTTCTTGTAGACTTTATCACTATGCAGGCTATGCCATCCACTCAAGGTAGCAAATATTACCTTACAAATGACCACAGAATGTATTAAGCACACGCATCACAAACAAGTTATTCGGCGTGCGCTACCTAGGTACTCGATTTTTCATGACCGCATAAGTTGCGCTGGGTGAGTGATGTCGAACCACGTTACCTGGGTTTGTGGGATGATGAAGTCCTTAAGAGAAAAATGCTAAAAAAGGGGGTCGGCTTACATTAGTAAGGATTGGATTCCGTCCACCAAAAACTTGGTAGGCAATCGTCGCTGCCGACCACAGGTCTGCCCGTGAATATTGTTCAGGGTTGATGCCACCTGTGTGATTCGCGAAGTGCCTTGCCACCTCTGGTGGCCAGAAGATAGTGTTGCCACTATGCGATATCAGGTCTCCCGATGAGTGCGATTTTGCCTGTCCCAGGTTAGTCTTGATAGCGCAGCCAAAGTCCGTTAGTGCGACGTGCAGCCGAGAGTTTGCCAGTTCCAATTCAGCGCCTACATAATGGATAAAAACGGAAATCCAATAGGATTGAGGTAAAAAGGAGGCGGTTTGGAATGAAATAGATAGATGATCAGGAAGGGAAGGGGATAGATGAAAATGTGCAACAGTGGCAACCCTAGTTGTCTTATGGGTAGTGCCTCTCAGTCCGACACCTGGTTCCCTACCGGTAGATGCGCATGCACTCCCTGTGGGTATACAGGACGTGAGTATGACTGCTCAGTCATCCTTGCCCTTCTGACCCGCTGTGGTGCTGTTGCTGTTGTTGGTCAGGTGTGTGTTGTGGAGCAGGGGGTGTGGTGGCACGCCTAGGTGCGGGTCCGGCCGTGCCAGCCATCTGCGCCCCCCCCTCACCTCCAGTCTTCTTGGCTGTCTTGACACCGGACACAGGCGAGGAGGAAAGTGCGGTAGATGCTGCACAAGTCTATTCACTATAAACTGACTCACGCGCAAGTCACCGTGCCTGCCTCACGGTGGACATCGTCAGGCACGACGGGAGAACCGTCGATCATCCTAATTCATAACCCTTGCCGCGTTTCCCCTCTTTCGCATTGCTGTCGTCAGGAACGCCATAATGGTCACTCAAGTACCCGCTTGCTGTTGTTACCATCGCAACTAATGACAAGGACATTGTCAGATCGGAACGCACTCTTTGAACCCGATCGGAATATTCCCTTATAGGAGGCAGAACGATTAGCTTATACGAAAACTAAACCTCGTGACGGCAAGCCGTTGGCTGGAGATGATAGGAGATTGTGGAAAAATCCTTATAATGGAGGCATTGAGCACATTCTGATGGTCAAGTTCCCTACTCAAACCAATATTTGGAGATAGGAAACTCCTCGAGGAAGAAATATGTGAGATCAATAAACGGTCCTGTACTTTCTCTACAGGCTTCCCAAGAACTCTCCTCCCGTGATTTAACGTACGCGTCGGTGAGGTAGTTGTTTTTATGTATTTAAAGTTTGACTGAAAACTCAAATAGCACAGTGCAGAAGCTTCAGGAGCTACATCGGGGTCCGGTAGACGTTATTGGAAATGCGCACCCATGACAAATACCAAGCATTGGGGTGTGGCGGTAGGCCCACGCCGCGGCAGTTGGGACGTGAGTCATCCCCTTTTTTTATTGTGTAAAATCGTGGTCAGTGTACGCTGTAGACCAGCGTTTGTGGTGGTACACCTAGGTGCGGGTTTTCGCCGTGCGACCTCTTCACCTGCAACCTCTTCCAGACTCCAGTCTTCTTGGCTCTGTCGCAACACCAAACCCAGGGGTGGAAGGAGAGTGGGGTAGATGCTCGTAAGTTCACTATCAATATAAACGAACTCAGGGGGGTCATCCCCCAGAACAGACCGGCTTGGAGAAAAGCAGTGAAGATTGACGCATCAATCTAAAAAGCAGATCGGATAGCCGCCACCAGAGCTAAAAGCTAAGCTCGCAAGTCAGGCGCCCCTTACTCGCAACATCGTTATTCAGCCCGCCCAACATGCCCATGCTGTTAACGAACATTCCGCGTGCAGATCGGCCTCGTCGGTCATCTTCGGATCCAATATACCAACCGCCCGACAACCGCAGCTACCGCCTCCGCGACCGCCCCTGCTTCAACTCCCTCGTCGACCACGACGACGCTCACCCTCACCACCGTTGCTCTGAATCACTGTGTCACACCGCCACACCACGATCCCCGGTAGCGGGGGTCGAAACCTCCAATTCTCGCTAGTCTGTCAAGTATACGGTCTAGTACTCGCACTCGTGGAGAAGTGTCCGGACGAACGTCCGGTAAGCGTGGGTCTTCAACAAGACCAAGATGTCGCAAAAGATGCATACGTACTTTCAGGGGACTGCAAAAACGAAGGCATCGACTCGGATGGCGATTTCTTCATTACTCTACCGGCTTGGCAACAAACTGAACCTGAAGTATTCGAAACCGTCCACTTCTTAAAGTTGGTAGCTATTAACTAGGAGTGACTTCTACTGGTCACATAGTTAGCTCGAAGGCATCTTGATCATCGCAGCGCTGGAAAAACTCGTTCATCTGATACAATACGCTACGTGAGTTGCCATAGCTTGACGTCAGCGTAGTCGAGACTAGCCAGCCGGCACTTTGGTGCCAGTATGACGGCATCAAAACCGCGCAGAATCCTTTTGACAGTTATGTCAACGCCGTAGTTAGACGAAGTGAGCGACGAAACGCAGGCTTTCAGGCGAAAAGGTAAACATTGAACGGTTGAGGGAGATTGTTGTGGACTGGTAGAGCAATAGCGGGTCTTTATAACAACAAGGACTTTTATCGGTACGCCGTCTAGCTCGGTTATCTGCCACACAGACTTATGCTGGACATAAGCCGAACCTACACCGAAGTCAACAATAGGGACGCCCATCGACAACTGGTTGTCATGACATAATTCAAAAATGTGCCGAAAAGTAAGTATTTAGTTAGGGCATCCATGTTCAGTCTGATCAGGTCTCACCCTCGAACTACGTAAATCCTAAAATTGTTTGCAAATGACGATGGGCGTTTCAGAAGTATTATGCGAATAAGCCAATGTGATAGAAATGAAGGATTACAAATCCGCGTAGCCAGCAAGACACACTAGTTAGTAGGATAGGCCGTGTGACCTTTACTGGCCAAGCCATCTGCAGTGACTGTCTGGCGGACACATATTTGTGTAGAAAAACTGCTTTGATGCAAGGTCTACGGTGGACTTAACAAATTGTCGGTCCCTATTAACTTGCCCGGGGCTAGTCTAGCTACACAAGCACAAGTAACCCCAGTTCGGGCAGATAAGGTCCTGATTGGTGATAATGGCGGAAACCGAATTTGAGGGCCTGAAAAAATGCATACTGGCTGTAAAGGACCTTTTGATTTCGTTCACTCTTCGAGGATGTGTCACTTGGCTACTTTCAGCAGTGCAGATGACCGGTATTTAGAAGCAAGCTACTGAGAAGAGTTACATAAAACAAGTTCTGCCTAGGTCAAGGCATATATACCTGATTACATATTATAGGGTATTAATTTCAGAGTTCCGTTTTCGACGAAGACAAGCCCAAAATTGCTTTATATGCGCGCCTGAGGTCGACTAAATAAGCCGCCTTATTTGAGTGAAGAATGGGTAAAAATGCACCGATAACTTGATTAAAAAGTGAACCCACCATAATTACAGTACTAACTGCGGGTGACAGAATTGGAAAGGGCGCGAACCTCCAAAACTACCGTTAATGTGATAATTATTGTATCGCCCTTGACGTATTCCCGTGCTAAACAAGACGCGCGTAATTAAGCACAAGGAAGATGCTGTTTTGATGCGCACTTACTATCAAGTACGCCAGTAATGTTAGACCACGAGGACCGTGGGCGAACGAGCACGTTCGACGGTTTCAAGTCGCGATGGGCAACACCAGAACGCTCCAACTCTGCTACTGCCTCGAACATCTGCGCAAGGAGAGGCACCGCTTCTTCCACCGGCAAACAATAGTTGGGGTTGGAGACGACAGACAGGGAAGAACTTGGATGACGAGGGGGTGACGACCGCATGGCGGTAGTGGTGGTGATAGGCGGATGCCAGTTGTGATTGAAAATGTCATCCAGGGTCGCTTCGAACCTAGTGAAGGGGAGCGTGCGATAGCATAAGAGATATCGGGAAAAGCAGTTGAACGTAAACGGATCACCAAAAAAGAAACTAATGTGAAAGGAAAGAGGGATACTGAAATGTCAGGGAGAAAAAGAAGGTGATACAGAAAAGAGCAAATCGGACGAACCTAGAGTAGGCATCCACACATGACCTTATGGCGGTGGAAAGAATAAAAAACGACCTACTTGGGCATGACCAGGTAGCATGTAATTGGCCGGCCTCCAAAGCCCTCACGAAATTGTTCTGCTTTTTGCCACGAATGCATCGAAGACACATCGGATGCGGATGAACTGTCGAAAGGTTTTGACGCTGGCGGAGCTTTATCAAAGAATTTCTTCCACACCGGTACAATGTTTGGGTGATAAGAGGCGGGGCGGAGGCCACATTCGCGCCGTACCTGTTTATTCAGCAGATGCCAGTCAACGGGTATTGAAGAGACTTTATGGCCATTCGTGAGTAGAGAGGAACCTGTAACACCGACTTTTTCGTCTTCGGAAGTGGCAGCGTAGAAATTGTAGAGGACCTTGACAGCCAAGTCACCTAAATAATTCGTAGACAGCGAAAATAACAGTTTCTAGCGGGAGCTGTAAAGAGGCACATCCCCATATGGCTCTACCCCGAGAGTAAAAAAATGAAGACCTCCGAAATACAAAAGCATATATCCTCGGATGCTCGGCCAGTTTTTGGACCGAATACTAAGAAGCAAGAATGAGAAAATACTGAAGGACAGACTGCTTATTAAACAGAAGCGAGAGATGCGAGGAGCAATAACGCACATCGAACTCCGAGCTCCTTAGCCGCACTGTACTTTGCAGACCACACGGCACCGAAGCAGCCGTTTGAGAGGAAACTCTGTGGTTTTAGGGAAGAGAGACGCATGTGCTTGGGAAACTGAGGGCGCATTGGTTCCACTCGTTTGTAAGAGGCTTCAATTCCATTAATAACCCCACTACGGAAGGAAAAATGCAACATATAAGGAGTTCGAAAAACAAATGTCTTATTCGAAACGAAAACCGTATCGTTTTGCTTAACATTTTCATTCCAAGATATTGCCGAGTGAATCCATAATTTCCAACCACGGAGATGCAGGAAAAGTCTAGAGACCCTCTAACGCAAGGATAATGCTGTGTGGGAACCAAAAATCTCAGCTTAGCACCCCATCTTAGCAGCAGGTTTTAGGTAAATGGGATTAAGGTGTCGATACTGCGAAGTGGTGTCAGTGGCACTTTAAAAGATACCGACTGCCAACTTTGTCGATAGAATACTACTTCCTTCCAAAGTGCCGGAAGTGTAGGTTCCATAAACCGTGATCTGATAAAATAAGGATGAATAGTTAGCAAGACTAGTGCATGAAGTTGTGGATTAACAGTGAAATCTTAAGTATAAGCATGCCTATTAGGAGGGGCGAAGTCATTGCAGTAACGAACAACTGCAGCTATGTTGCTGTACGCACGAAACATTGAATTCGGCCGTTTATAAGTGCTGCTAGAGATAATCCATTTGCTCATTTTCCGTACGACAGATGAATTGGCCGACGAGGCGTGCCATGTACCGGCAGCAATGCGGCACAACAAGGGACTTGTCCGTAAAGTCGAGATTCCAGACCTTATCTAAATAATAGTAGAACATGGGCGATGCCAACCCCAAATCGAAGCTTCGCCTTTAAGAAGGCCGATCTATTGGCAAGAACAACTTTAGAGATTGTCCGGTAAAGATTGTGGAACATAATTTTTCGCGCGAGTGATTAAAAAACGCGATATGCGGACGAGTTTCAGGGTGCTCAATGATGATTGGTCGAACATTTTCGGCACAAGGGAGGCAAGGGAGATGCGACCAGACTACTAGTACATGGCGAATACAGTAGGCTTCGCCAAGAGCGTCGATGGAGCGCATTCTGTGAGGACACGATGCATGAACTGAAAAATTGTAAAAGTTAACATTTCTGGTGAGGGATCTTAGGAAGCGATACGACGCACAAAGGAAGGATATGTGGACAGATACGGAAAGTTAATGGCGGCATCCTAAATTTCCGGTGGCCCTTTCTCAGTGTCATAAAGTTGTCCGGGACAGTTCGAAAGCCCTTTCAAGAAGGCGAGCCCCAGAAAGAATGGAACTCCACATTAATCACCTCGATCCATAAAGGAAGTTCAGGACTTGATAGCGAAAATCATCGTCCTATCAGTTTAACTCGTATTCCGTGTAAAATAACGGGGCGCATCATCAAAAGAAATTCGATGTAATACCTGGAAAAATCAAAATATTGTGTGGCGCCCAACCTGGCTTTTGTGCCGGCCGTTTTTGTCTCACAAGTGTTCTTTATACGCACCCGAACTGGAAAAGGACGACAGATAACAGTTATCCAGTAGATGTCACATTTTTTAACTTCAAGAAGACCTTTGATAACGTCTCACACAGGCATTTTACGGAAGATTTGAGATGCAGGAGTTCGAAGAAGAATGTTTAGCTAGACCAAGAGTTTCCTGTCCTCCGGAGCACAGAGGACCATTGTTGGTAGCTAAGCCTCGTAATGGACAAAAGTGGAATGTGATGTCCCATATGGTTCTGTTTAGACCCACTACACTTCCTGATTTGTGTAAAGATTGCACCGGCAAACTAGACTGTGAAACTCCCATGTCTGCGGATGGCCTTAAAATATGAAGTGAAGTCATGACGCAACGAAGTTGCAATCGAACATCGACAAAATGAGAGTCTTACCAAATAGATGGCTTTGAAAGTATTATGTGTCCAATTGCATCGTCCTACACCTAAACTCCGGCCGAAATGCACCTCCCCAAACATCCCTATTATATTAGCAGGACGGCATTGGAAACTGTAGAAAGAAACAGAGATCTGGGTGCATGGATGACCACAAATCTGATGTCATCAGAACACTGTAAGACGATCTAGAAGGCGACTAATAATTTACACTGGATCAGACGTGCATTTAAAATATTTCCTCCCGAACACTTCAGACGACTTTTGGCGTTTTTGTAAGACCCAACCTGCAGCATGGAATGACGGCAGCTTCATTATGGCCGAGAAAGGATATTGACCATTTCGAACAGGTGCAGCGCAGAGCAACGAAGATGGTCGATGGTCTAAACAATTCGTACCAGGAGTGAACTTGGCTTGTGTCCTCTATTTTATGGCTATTGAACTGCAGTCTTCCCTGAACATTCCAGGTTGTCCGTGGCCAAGGTTATTCACTGAGATCAGTGGACTTTTTTAGTTATTCCCTACAAACTTATTACGCGGTCATCCCTACAACGCCAAGGGCGAACGCACACGGCTAAACCGTGGAAAATTCTCCTTCAGCTAACGAGTTGCCCGACCATGGAACTCGCTTTCAAGTGAGATGATGACTGCCAACCCAATTTATATGTTTAAAAAACTTTCTCATGTAATTTTTTACGTATACAACTTTTGCATCATGGCTACTCACAGTCAGCTTCGTAAAAAATTTTGGCATGCTAAATTTTTCCTTACTGGCTTATAGTGAACTGATGCGCTTCCTTATTATTAACGTTGTATCGTGAACCGATCACATTCTAAATGTTTGCAACCTTATTTTGCGTGCGAATATGCTAAACCATTGTTCATAAATTGGGTCATCAAGGACTCTGTCCCAAACCCTTCAAAAACATACATACATGTAATAAATCAGGGAGGTGTCGGCCTAAAGCCGGGAGCCCCGTCTTCCATAGTCAGGAGTCATCCTGAACGGCATGGCCCAGTTTTCAAATCCAGTAAGAAATTTAGATCAGAACCAGTTTGTGAAAGAAGGAAAGTTGCTAAAAGCATGACTAATCATGATCGATTGTAACAAAACCCTCTTCTACCGAACCAGTATCTTTTCCCTGGGAGGTTCAGCGAAGAACGCAACTGCGAACATGAAAAGTCTAACGACCAGGGGTATTTCGCAGGCTAAAATCCGTAAATCTGCTAAGCAGAGATTTACGGAGATTTTAAGAAAAATGCATGGTTCAAGTCGCCGAAGGAAGTCGGAAGAACGATTAATGGGGAAAAACAGGACAGAGATCGATTGTCGATGCAAATGTGCTGTAGAATCCGACTCCCAGACTGACAAGATTTGAGCTCCCTATACGGTATACAATCGCAATAATCTTCCTCGGCGTCTCCCATTGCTATACTACCTCCTTGGCACCGGTCCTGAGCAGGAAATTCGTTGTCATCCATTCTGGTAAGCAGTGAGTCAGGCACATCGTAAGATGGCATAATCGTATTAACGTTTGATAGTCTTAAAATGCCTAGGCCTCAACAGAACAGTCAACGCGCGCAGCACGATTTTGAAAAGATTCGTGTAATTCATACTTTCGAATTCGATTTCTCCACTTCTTGCATAGTTTTCCAGTATAATTTTTGGCAAAATTTCTTATTTTTGGTCATAAGTCATCTAAGCTTCCCGTCATTTTTGTATATTTATCATAAAGCGGAAATAAAGTATCGTAATTTTTCACCCAACATATTCTGCTGGCACCAGCCCCGCTTGGCACCCTCAGATATGGTGGCATGCAACCACCAGCACCCACTAGCCTATTCACCCCAAAAAATTTGTGCAGGGGGACGCCTACTCGTCGTCAATTTTGGCACCCTTTTACAATACCGATTTTTGCTTACACAGCGCCTCCCCGCGAAAGAGCACTGTATTGCTTTTAAATGCAGCACATCGTAAACTCAAAGGACGTCTTATTCCAGGTGGCCCGCCCTTCAAACTGTAATAGTTTAAAGGCGTCCTGCGCAGTTCCCACAACTTTGATTGGCGCAGTGGACACTAATGTATATTAAAGCCACATTTAATGAAGGTCAACTTCATCTAAACTAAAATTCACATAGAGGTCTAGCATATCCTAAAATATTGCCTGTTTTGCACTCAAACATTTATTTTTGCGATGAAATATGTGCCAGGGAAGGTCTTTACATTTATTACCGGTTTTCAGCTTCTCAGAAAACACGTGGTGTCTGAATACTTTCTATGCTCTGAATTGCGGGGACTGTAGCCACGCCTAGCCACCCTGCCGGCTACGCCTATGAGTGTCCATGTGCTAGCAGGGTAGCCTCAATCCGTTTAAGTTTTACGGGTGTATATGAGAGATTTTCCTCGTAAAATTTTTGAAAAACACTGTACTTTAACGAAAAGTCTTCTTCACTGACTGCATTTTTGCTGAGTTATTACTTGTAAGAAAACCACACTGTCCTCTACCTTATTAATATGTAAAAATTGCATAGTGACAATTCTTGGCAAACTATTTTCGTTGATAGAAGTGAACTTCATTTTCTCCCATTCGGAGCGCTTAGCTCAATATCTTAGAGGAAATAAGCTTTATATTAGTCGGGTAAAACTCCAATATAACGCAGAGTTTCCTTCTCAGTAGATAGCATAGAACTATTCCAGAATTGTACTCATCTGCCATTTGCCTCTGAAGCAGATTCTCCACCGGGCGTCAACCGAATGTTCCCTATGTATGCGGTGGCCCTAATTCCATCTAGCTCTTCACCTGAACACATTATCACTGATTCACTTGTAAACTGCCCTTTTGAAACATCTCCAGACAGCGATAATTCCTCAAGTGTAGCTCACAATTTTATCAGGACGGTTGATCTCAACAGTAAAGATGGACTAATCCTAGGAGCACAATCGACCTCCAGGACTCAGAATAATGAATTAGATAATAAACCTGGTTGGAATCCCTCCAGTCTCTGTGCATGTGGTATTGTAAAGGGATTCAAAACGGACATCGTCAGTGCAGAATTCATACATCGGACGAGACTATTCGAGTCAAAAGAGCGAACCGAAAAGAACCCAAACGCGATCGGTCACAGTCCGCATCGAGCTCAACCGAGGAGGGGGCAAGGGAGATACAACCAAACTACTGGTAGATGGCGAATACAGAGGGTTCCGCGGTGAGCGTCGACAGACCACTTGAGGACGAAATGAGGGAGATGACATCAAGAACCGCGAAAATCGTTGCTATGGGGGAGAAGTGATAGCAGTGGACTTAGTAGCCAATTCAAAACAGAGGGCTGTGAAGATACAAGTGGGGATTTCCACTTGGCCTACCACTAACTCCCAGGAGGCCCCTTCTCGAAGTCAAGAAAATGCGTGTTCGGGAATGAGACGTTTAGAAGTGCCTTTATACTTTCCGGTGTGAGATGTCTGCGTAATTTTGATTTGAGTGCCGATAACTTCGGCGATGAGCTAAGTTCTGGCGGAAGATTATCCCAAAGGAAGGTATATTTGGATGCGAAAACGAGGGGGCGTGTAGATGTAGTGCAAAGAGGCGGCAAAATCACCATGGAGGAGTTGCACGTGGCACAAGACCGATCTCTCGGAGATAGCATGTCAAAAAGCAGAAGATTGGGGCTAGAGTTAATGCGAAAAAGGAAGCAAAGGCCAGCTTCGAATTTTTTAAGCCACAAATCTTTATGTCCGCCAGGTGACATCTCTGAGTATAAGAAGTACCGGATGTGACTTGAGAAAACAGTTTTCAGGTGAAAACCCTCTGAACATTTTCGATTTTATTACGGTCACACGCGTTCCTTAAACCAAAGAAAGGACAGCAGTATTCGAGGACTGGAGGAACAAGCATTTGATAATGTCTTAGCTTCATTTCCGGAAGGAAAATATATGCGATATGAACCTACCTATCTGTGCGGCTGTGGTAGAGATTATATCTGCATGAGGTGATAAAGCAAGTTTATTTGCAT